AAAAAAAAAAAAAAAAAAAAAAAAAACATACAGGAAATAGGAGAAAAGGGAAAGATTGGTAAGACAAGAAGGAGATGCTTACCCAGATGGAAAGCAGCAACTGTCCCCAGCAGGAGAAGGGGCAGGAGCAGTGGGCCTTTCATATCCACTCAGGTTTGGGATGGGGACACAACTCCAACCTCCTTCCTTGTGGGTGTCCTGTGTGTCTGCACAGCTCTTGGCACTTAGAAGAGACAAAATTCTTGTTAACTGGCTGATTAAGGGACAAACTAGAGCATTCCTTCCTTTCCCCCAACCCCTGGGGAACAGACCCTGAGCTGGAGAATTAGGAAAAGGACATGGGGTGTCAGCTCAAGTACAAAAGTCCCTTTTTCTGAAAGTGCCATCACCGCTTCCCTGGAACGGCCCTTAGCTCAGACCCTTGCCCCTGCAGGAATAAGCCTGCTCAGAGTCAGGGCCACTGTCATTCATGCTGGGGAATGAGGGGAGAGGATGGTGGCCTGAGGACAGGCTTCCGAGATGCATGCCATATTGGGTCAAGTACTCACTTCCAGGAGTCTGAGGCTTCCACTCTCAGTGCTCCTAGCTGCTGGGACCCAGAGGCAGCTCTTATACTGGGCATCTGGGGAAGTGGGAAGAGGCCAGGATGATTGCTTCAGGCTGGGGTGGGGAGCAGTGGAGCTGATAAGACTAAGTCTTGCTCAGTCCTCTCACCCTTGAGCCCTGATGCCTGCTGGGACTCCAGAGACCTATCTCCCAAGGCCTGCTCCATATGTGGGCACCCAGATGCCCCAGTGTGTTCCAAAACACCCCAGCTGACTACTGTCCAGGCATTATTACCACCCCTAAAGTGCCCCAGTGAACAATACCCCTTAATCCCAGGAGCAGCCTTCCTCTGGTGAATATCCCAGCTAATGAGGTAGGGAATCCCAGGAATCTGGGAGTGCATGTGGGGAAGAGGTGGTTGGCCAAGGGAGCCTCCGCCCTCCTGATCACTTATCTGGACCAGGTACTTTAAATGCATCACATCCATGAATCCTCACCCTCACCTTATGTATGGTTATCCTTACTTCACGGATGTGAAAAATGAGATTCAGAGAGAGAAAGCAACTTGTCGAGGTTGCACACGTAACAGGAGAACTGGGATTTGCAAGTCTTTTTGGCTCAAAACCCTTCTCTGTCTCTCTGTCTCTCCCTCTCTGTGTCTCTGTCTTTGTCGCTTTCTGTCTGTGTCTCTCCTTCTCTTTCTTTCTTTCTCCCCCCCCTTCCTCTCTCTCTTTCCATCTTTAATGTGTGAAAAATTTATGCTCATTCTTTTATGCTGTGGATCTAGATCAAGGTTCTCAACCTTTGCTCTATCACTATATAGAGCCAAATCTTTGTTGTGGGGGGCTGTCCTGTGCATCATAATAAGTTTAACAGCATCCCTGGCTTCTACCTACTAGATGTCAGTAGCACCTTCCCCAGTCATGATGATCAAAAATGTCTCCCCATATTCCCAGATGTCCTCTGGGGAACTAACTTGCCCCAGTTGAGGTTCATTGATCTAGAACATGCCATGTTGTCCAATCTCAAGGCTCATCTTCCAGCAAGGGGGCAGCAGTTAGAATGGAAAGTTTCATGCAGAGTCATTCAGATGCCCTGGGCCACCCTCCTCCCAACCCCCACTCCCCATCTCCCACCAGCTCTCTATCACCACTAGGGTCTCGACTAGGGGAAGTGAACAAGGCACTTGCCTCAGATGTGGAATTTAAGAGGGCACTAAAGAATTCAGTGGCCAAGAGAAACAATATTTTAATATAATCTTCTGTGAACATCGAAATAAATGCCAAAAAATCCATGATGAACAAAATGTCAAATTTTTAATCAATCAAGCCCAGCCAAATTCAGTGCAACACAGGGAAAGGCCAACAAGTGCTGAGCCCTGACTTAGCTGGATATCACTGCCAAGAGCTAGAAGACTTGTCAGGGTGGGTGTCTCAACTCTGTGACATCCTAGCTGGGCCATGCATTTTTGTTTCTTGGATTCCATTCCAGCCTTCCAGTACTCAAAGCACTAGGGGAGGTAACCCAGAAGGTGAAGAGGCCTGGGTCCTTCTCCTCCTCCACTCCCTCAGGGTACCTACAAATGGAGAAGAATCTGAAAGCTCATTTCTGCACCCAATTGCAGAGTAACGGTCTTGGCCATTATCTCCCCGGCCCAACGGACTTGACTCTCAGCTTCTCTTCCTGTCTTGGAGGCTGGGGGTTGGACCAATTCCAGGCCCCCAAAAACCTGGTCTCCAGATTTTGAGCTTGAGGCCTCCCTAGTAGGAGGGCTAGACCCTCTCTCCATTTTTCTTACTCATCCGGGGCCCAGGCCAGGGATATCATTTCATTTGTGTTTGGGATGACCACTAAAGTCAGCTAGTTCCATGAGCCAGCACCATTATAAGCTTTATGTGTGTCATTTAATTTGAACATCCATTTCATAGATGAGGAAACGGCATCTCAGAGAGCTTAAGACACAGCAAGTCAGAGACAGGCCTAAACCCAGGCCTTCCAGCCTCTTAGCCACCCCAAAGCTGCCTTCCTTCTGCCTCCTCTCACTGACCTCCCTTCTCTATGACTTACCCCTCTCCCTGTTGACCCTATTTTCTTTGCACACAAACCCTGGGCAAAGACATTCCATTGACTTCAATGACCTCCTTCTTCCTGACCACAGTGAAGCTTGTCTGATTTAAAACTGGAAATAATATTTTTGAAGGTCCACCACGGACCAAAGACTACGTTTCATTAAGGATTTTATATCTATGGTCCTACTTAATTAATTTTACAATCATCCTGCAAATTAGGTATTGCCTTCTCTAGTCTACATATCTACTGCACGAGCTCAGAGAGGTTAAATTACTCGCCCAAATTCACACAACTATTAAGAAGTGACCCTCATCTGTTTGACTCCCACATCCTCGCTTTCTTCGATATGCCCAACTGTGTTAGCCCCAGTGTGGCCAACATGTTCATCATCCATGAGACTCCAATGCTCTGGCTTGCTGTTTGCATTTATATTCATAGGGATTTCAAACTCTGTCTCAAGATTCAGCCCAGCCCCACACTACGCAGAGGGTGGGTCTCTCTATCTTGAGGGGCAGTGTAGTGTGACATGTCTTGGAATCATGAGTTAATGTCAGCTTCTCTGTGGCTTGGTCTTCTCATCCTCATGAGTGGAGGCTCATGACAGGACACTACATCTAATAAGACCACCTCTAATAAAGCGCCCAGAACATTGCCTGGCACGTGGGGTTGGGAGGTGGCCCTTGTCAGGAAACCAGGACTAGAAATGTGACCCTAATCAACAAATAAGCACCGAGTGTTGATTGAGCTCCTGCCCTGGGCTTTGCATGGTGTAAGGAACTCCAGGGATTCTGTTGTAAGCAAGTTGGCTTTACAGAACTTAGTCAACATCCTGTTGGAGATGAGAAATGACACACAAACCCATATTTGGTGATGTAAGCCCTCTTATTTCATTAATTTTGCTTTTTAAAAAATGTTTCTTGTGGACATATAGCATGCATCCTATAAAGTATACTGTATGGTGGGCAGCTCAGGGGATTTTTACAGTGAATGCACCCTCAGAACCATGCCCAGATCAAGAACAGAATGTTACCCAATGTTACCCGGTACCCAAATGCCTCCTTCGTGGCTTCCTCTTGACATTAATCCCACACAGAGGATCTCCATAGGCTGGAGGGCCCACTTCTGCCACGACACACGGTTCCAACAGACTTACGAAGAATAAGACAAAGTCCACTTATCACTTAGCATTGAACCTGGTACCTAGTAAATGCTTAATAAATGGGAAATAGTGTTACTCTTTATTATTCATATTGGAATAAAGGGAAGCCGTGTCTTCCCACGGCAGAATACAGTCTGTGAGGGCAAAGAGTGAAAGTTCTTCTTCAGTGGCATCCACCCCAGCACCCAGCCCAAGGCTGAACCCGGAATAGCGTTCCAGAGTTCCACCATCTTTGAATTCAGCAGACTGTCCTAGAAGGGCAGCTACAATGGACCTCGGTTTGATTTCCATCTTTCTCAACTAACTGTGAGAACTTGAGCAAGTGGCTTCCCCAATCTGGGCCACACTCAAAAAATTAAAGCTCTTGATTCACCTCTAAGACTCTGGAGCCATCTGTAATTGTATGTGTTTGAGGAGTCCAGGAAGAAAGGGGCTTCAGGGCATTGACTCCTTACTTTCTGTTCACTTCCCTGGCGGAGCAAGGATTCCTTCCCCACCTCTGATTGAGATTCCCTCCTGTCCAGCTGGGCTGGAGTCCTATGGCCCCAAGATGAACCCAAGAGTAAGGGAGTGTGCCCTGCCTCTCCACTGTGCCCCATCCCTACATGACCATGTCCTGGAAGCGGCCACAGGATCCTAAGGGTAGAAAGAACATGCTGTGGAGCAGACAGCCAAATCGCAACGTTGGCCACATTTAGGTGGTCTGCCTTAGGCAAGTCTTTGAACAAGGCCATAACTTCTCTGAGCCTGGTTTTATAAAATGGGGTAATAATTACTGCTCACACAAGGTCATCTTTGTAAGGTGCTTGCCACAGTGCTTGTGGGTGTGTAATAGGCAGCAACAATTAGTAGAGATTGTGCTTCTGTTGTAAACAACCATATGTTCCAGAATGGGAGGAGGCTAGGTCTTGTATTCCCAGGCCTTATATAGAGTTGGACAGATAGCATGTTGTCCTATATTGGGTTTCCCCAGAAACAGGCCCTGAGACAGGATTTGAGTGCACGTAGCTTATTTGGGAGGTGCAAGGACATTTGTAGGGAAAAGAGAATTCAGATGGACAAGAGACGGCAGTCAATAACATGTGTGCTACAAAGCCAGCTGCCTCAGTGGATAATGGGAAGTTAACCCCATTGGAAAACCCTGGGAGACAGTGCCCAGTACATGCCTTAGAATTAGTCCACTTGAAGGGCAAGGGACTAGGACACTCATACTCCCACTCCTATGAGTTACAGACTGTTCCCAGGGACATGTTAATTTCCTGGCACATTAAGACAACCACACTCTTGGGCATGCGGATGCAGGCACAGGACATGGAGAGTCCACCTGGAATGGTTGAAGACACAGGGGGGTTCTGACAGCATCTGCTCTGCTGGGGCTAGGAATTGGGTGTTGTGCGAAAAGAGCTACTGGACCCATTCTTCTGTCTCCAGGGAGAGTCCACAGTCCCCAGCCCATACTCCAGCCTCCCTGAAAGTGATCACTTCTGGCTTCTTTTATGAGAGACAGTGGAGTGGGGAGGGGCCGTCATTGTAGGGCAGAAAGTTCCTTAGGCGGGGCTAAGCAGAGAGGATCAATGATCAGAGGGGAAAAATCAGTTTCAGGAAAGCAATTTTATTGTTGGGATCTGGAAGCAGGGGCAGCAGGCAGGGAGGGGAGGCAGCTATGGGGGAGGTGCTCTGGACTCCTGGCTGGGTCCAGCTCAGTAGGAACAGATGAAGGAGAGGCACCCACAGCAATGAGATCGACACCAGTGGCCTCCTGGGAAGGCAGAACAGAAAGAGGCCTTCGGCCTCTAGTGCCCCCTGACTCAGCCCCAGACAGGCCTTTCCTCCCCTCCGCTCCACGTCTCCATGGCCACGGAGTCTCAAGACCCAGAAGGCCCCGCCCAGCATCTCCTCCGGGAGGCCCTCCTACTCCCCTAGGCCCTCCCATCTGTCATCCCCACTCCCCGGGCACCTCAGGTACACATGAAAACACATCCGCCACCACAGGCCCGCAGCCCAGTATGTAAAGTTCCAGCAACTGCCCATCGACCCAGTGAAAGCGTTTGCAGCAATCCTAGAGGAGGCAGGAAGAGAAGATGTGGGCGGGGGGGGGGGGGGGGGGGGGGGGGGGGCAAAGAGAAAGCAGATAGGCAGAGCTCAAACTGTCCCACCAGGCATTTGCCCTTGATTGCTGGACCATGACGGACACTGTCCTGGTCAACTGAAATGCTGATCCGCAGTGATCACCATCAGCACATTCTATGCATCATAGTGATACGCTCATCCTCTGGCCCCAGCAAGAGGTAAGCAGGAGTTGCAAGCCCATCGCAGAGAGGAGGAACCAGCCTCACAGTCTTGCCCACATCCTACATGCAGACCGTGGCCCCAAACCTCCTTGCTCTGAATTCTTGGCTCTTCCCAGGACCTAGGCAGCCTCCTCGGTGTCCCACCAAAGTCGTCTATCTGTCCCCAGTTCTTTCGAGGATTGGAGGGGAAGCACAGACAGATCTGCAGCATTGTGAGGCACTGGCCGGGGTCAGGAGTGCACCCCACTTAGAGCTGGGACCCTGCTTACCCTGTCTACGACCTTGCCTCCGATCCAGACCTGGCGCTGGTTGAGCCCGCTGACTGAACACTGGATCTCGTCATTGAAGCTGAAGCTGAGGACAGAGGCGAGGTTGTCCTGGCAGCACCTCTGGCAAACTGACTGCCGGACAGGATAAAAGAGGAAGAGTGGAGTGCCCACCCCCCAAGGAATTCATGTCACCTTAGTCTTGGGTCTCTAAATCTCCAAAATTCATCTTCCTCACCCCCATGCTCGCCTCCACAGCCATCTGAAGGTTGGAGATCAAACTGCAGTTCCTGTTTCCACATGACCCTCACCTCTCACCCTGGCACCTCAGCAGGCCCCAGCCCCTGCTGACACCCCCAGGGTCTTCAATGAGGAAAATAATTAACGATGCAGAGGCTGCAGACATCTATCCCCGCCCCCCACTCCAAGTCTCAGTCTCAGCTCCAGGCCACTCACCCGAGCTTGGTTCAATTTCCTGACCTTCCTTACCGGCCGGAAGCGGGGGCAGGTCTTGCATCCAGAAATGCCCTCCAGTTTCACTGTGTCCTCTTCCTTAGGGCACTGAAAGCCCTTGTCCACCTCATCCAAGGCAGAGGCAAACTCTACAGCACCCTCCTCCTCAGGGGCATCTTCACCTCCAGAGCACCCCTCCTCCTCCTCCAGCAGTGTCAGCTGCCCCATAGGGGCTTCCATGGCCTCATTTTCTGGTATCTCCCCAAGCCTAGGCAGGGTCTCACCTCCATAAAGCTCTCAGAGTTAGACGTTACAGTCCCTGGCAGGGAGAAAGGCCAAGGGCCCCCTTCTTCACATCTACGCCTGCTCCTTCCCAGCACCATGGACAGCGCCCACCACGCCCCAGGCATCCGAGAGGGTTCAGTCCTGGAAAGAGAGGTACCTGGAACCAAATCAACACAAGGAGAACCCAACCTCCCATAAGAGGTCATGGTGTTAAGAGCGAGGACTTAGATTCAGGCAGCTGTGGGTTTGGGTACTGGTGCCATCACCTACCAGCTTTATTTTCTTGTTTGTGATATGGGTACGCAATACTATGTACCTTGTGGGGATGCTCTGATGTTTAAAGGAGATAATGCAGGGGCACCTGGGTGGCTCAGTCGGTTAAGCGTCTGACTCTTGATTTCAGCTCAGGTCATGGTCTCACGGTTGGTGAGTTACAGCCCCACGTTGGGCTCTGTGCTGACAGCATGGAGCCTGCTTGGGGTCCTCTCTCTCCTTCTCTCTCTGCCCCTCCCCTGCTCGTGCTCTCTCTCTCTCTCTCTCTCTCTCTCACACACACACACACACACACCCCTTGGGAGTGGGGTGGAGAAAGAGAAGGCATGACAGTAAGTCCCTGAGGCTCCAAGAAGCTGGGGCCCTTTCTAAATAGAAGTGAAAACCATGACAGGCAGCCGAGGCTGGCTCTCCTGTGGGGCTGCAAGAAGGGATTACCAGTATTGGTTTATACTTAATGGGCCCCTCAGAGTCTGTGGAACGAGAGAGAACTGAGAATCAATGATTGCTGGCCTTCCCAGGAATGCACAGCACTTAGGTAGTGGGGTCTCTCCTCAAAGCTCTGGAAACCACACACACACCCAGGTCCTCCGGGCTCTGCCTCCCCTGGCCAAGGAGAGCCTTCACATGCCTCAGGAGCATGAAAGGCAGGAATGAGAAGTCTCACCCCTGCTGACCCCCGAAAGACACCCACGGTCCCAGCCAGCCCTCAGAACCTCCCAGTCTGGGTCAAACACCTCCCCAGAGACTGAACATTTACCTGAAATCCACTCCACCACGACCCAGAAAGCACTTACCTGCCCAGAAGTCTTCCTGGGTCCTGAGGAATTCACAAAGCTCAGGTTCTCCTTCGCTCCATCCCGCAACAACGCTTTACAGTGGGGTCTTGGAGGAAGTGCCCCAGAGAAAGGAGGATTTGCCCCAACCTGAGGGTCATGGGAGGGCTGATAAAAACCATTCTCTCAGAGTGCATAGGTGGCTCAGTGGGTTGAGTATCTGACTTCAGTTGGTGAGTTTGAGCTCCACATCGGGCTCTCTGCTGTCAGCACAGAGCCTGCTTCAGATCCTCTGTCCCCTTTCTCTGTCCCTCCCCTGCTTGCTCTCTCTCTCTCTCTCTCAAAAGTAAACATTAAAAAAAGTTTCCTCACTTCCCTGGGAGGCCCAGTCATTGCTTCCAGATTGTCTCCTGACACCCCTTTCAGGAACCTAGGGGTCATTCTGGGACTGCCCTGAACCACTGGTTCCTCTCCCGGGATGCACTTTAGAATCTCCCAGGGAGTCTTTCCAAAATACACAGCTCTCTGCTTCTCTAGTGGGAATGTAAACTGCCACAGATATTTTGGAAACAAATCTGTCAATATCTATTAAGATTAAAGGTGCACATAGTGCTTGATCAATTTCGCTCTTTGGAGACTATCCTTTGGAAATAAAAGCACCTATAAGCAAGAACGCTTTTACAAAGTTGTATATCGCTTTACGGTGTGTAAAACGAAATTCTCCATGAAAACAAGGAGCTGACTGTCCTGTGGATGGATAGGTGGTGAACAGAAGGAAAAGGAACAGGGCGTTCCAGGCATGAGCAAACGTGTGGTGGTGACGTGACCTTGGCATAAGCACAGGACAGACAGTGTCTTTTCTTGCAAAACTAAAGTTAAGAGTATACACATCGGAGGGGCGCCTGGGTGGGTGAGTTGGTTGAGCGTCTGACTCTTGATTTCGGCTCAGGTCATAATCTCACGGTTGGTGAGTTCGAGCCCCACATCGGACTCTGCACTAACAGCACGGAGCCCGCTTGGGAGTCTCTGTCTCCCTCTCTCCCCCCCCCCACCCCCACTCTCAAAATAAGTAAATAAACTTTAAAATAAAACAGCACACACATTGGAAAGGGGTGGAGAAAACAAGGAAGAGTACATCCCATCCTGAGTCAAGGAATGGAGACAGCCTTCCCTGGCATCCACTGACTTAAGGAGACAGAACGCAGGAATCAAAGAAATGACTCCAAACCAGCCTGCACAAGCAGAATGCAGCTCGTCTCCACCCCCAGCCCCCCTGCAGGGCCACTTTGCATGTTCCACGAAACTGTCACAGCCCAGACAGTGACAGGATAGAGCCATTTCTTGAAGGTCTGTTGCTGCTCAGGGACCCCAACCCCCAAGGGAAGGCTCTCCTTTAGGCCACACAATCCAGGATCTGAAATCCACAGCTTAAAGACCCTAGAAATTCCATTTTGTCAACGTCCAGTGGGGGGGCTCGAGCAGGGGCTGAGAATGTGGGTTCGGGAGTCACACGGTCCAAGTTCGAATCGAGGGCTACCACCTCACAGCTGTGTGACCCTGGACCACGTTCCTTAACCTCTCTGTACTTCATTATCATTGTTTAAAAAGTGGGGATAATTATACAGACCTCCCTGGGTGATCAAAAGGAACAAATGAGATGACGTGTGTGAGCTGCCCAGCCCCCCGGCTGCCTTCGGGTTTTCAGAATTCCACTTCCCGTGGACCTTGGGAGAGGGCAGGCCTCTCATTCTTGACAAGAAAGTGCCAAATAGATTCTCAGCCTCTGTTGCAGCTAAGGCATGTGACTAGGCTCTCTCAAATGGGAGCATCCAGGCAAGACTTTGAATCTGGAGCTAGGGACCAAGAAGTGGGGGCCACGAAGTCCTCTCCCTGGCAGTGCAATGGTGACTTCCAGTTCCTGGGGCCGAAGTGTCCACAGCGCTAGAGAAGGGATCCAGGGCCCAGGCCCCACACTGCTTGCTGGCCACAGGGTCTGAATCACAGCAGCAGCAGCAACTGGGCCCCCCCCCCCCATCACACACACACACACGTCCCTTCTGTGGCCTGGTTTTGGCTCCCTGGTTCTCTAGTCCTTCCTGCAATTTTACGAGCTACCTCATTTCCTTTTAATAAATTCGTTTTCCTACTCAGATCCGCCAGGGAGAGGTTCATCTGCCTGGCGCTAAGAGCCCTGACTGATGCAGCATTTAGCACAGGAACTGGCATTTAGTTACTGCTCAATAAATGACAGCTTCTCGTGTTAATAGGCCTAGAAGTGATCAAGGTCTTGGGGACTGACCCACATTAATCAAACTCTCAAGAGACTGATGTCTACATCTGGTGCCAATGACATACTTTAGGTTGACCTGTACCCACATAGGGCCCACTTAGGGCCTTCAGACCAGCACATTCCCTCCCTGCATCACAAGCTACAAATGTTGCTAAATTTGTGCCAATTTGTCACACAGCACAGAAGACTAATAAGATGTTACAGAGCTCCGAGGCCCATTCCTTCCCAAGACGAAGTTTATCGTAGGGGATTGGCACAGGGGAGTATCCGAAAAGAATGGTCTTGAGGACCTCCTTGAGAAGAATCCCGGGTCAGCAATCAGGAAATATGGACAGAGAAAGAGAGGAGCCAGAGGTCCCCCCACCCCACCCCTCAGACCATAGCAGGCTGGGGAAGTCCCTTCTGGTCTCAAGCTCTGCCCTCAGAGGAGTGATGTCCCCCCACCCCCCAGGAGCTAGACCTCTGGGACTGACCAACTGCCTGATAACTGGGCTTGGCCAACACCCCTGTGGGGCAGATAAAAGGTGGTGAAAGGGCTAACATCATCCCAGGGCTAAGCAACCAGGAGATGGGGCCCCGGGCCATTGCTCTGTGAAATCGGCCTCAACAGCAGCTGCTGTGACACTTCCCTGTTTGGATGCCCCAGTGACTGACCTTGACCAAGAATGCTAGAGCTGAAAGTGACCTTGGAGATGACCCAGTCCAGTCTCCGCGTCTCAGCCACGGAAAGCACCCCAGACGGGACTCAGAAGTCCCCATTCCCAGATCCATTGTTCTTTCTGCTCTCACTGTGAGATTACCTTTGGTCCCCTCCAGGCACCTCCCCTCCTGGACACTGTGGACTCACAGCAGAGTGAGCAACATTAAGCCTCCACAGTCCGTGCCTCCCCTGCCCACATGCCGCCTTCACAATCTCCCCGGTCCATCTATTTCTGTCCATGTCTGCTCCCACCTCTCCAGCCCAGGCCACCGTGTTTGATGATGTACGTCAGAACCTGCCATCCCCCACGCTCCTCATTCAGTGTCTTCCTTCTGCACTCACAACTAATCCAAACTCATTCCCACTGCCTACAACTGGTAGTCTGGCTCTTGTCTGCTTGTCCGACCTCACTGGTATGTGTGACCCTTGTCATACTGGTTTTAGCTCCATTGGCCAAGCTGAAGCCTTCACGCTGGCTCCTTCAATCAGATCTTGGCTCAAAGGTCACCTCTCCAGAGAAGCCTTAAGAACTCTTTCTAAAGAAATCTCCTCCTGGGACGCCTGGGTGGCTCAGTCAGTTGAGCATCTGACTTCAGGTCAGGTCATGATCTCACAGTTTATGGGTTCGAGCCCCACATCAGGCTCTAGGCCAACAGCTCAAAGCCTGGAACCTGCTTTGGATTCTGTGTATCCTTCTGTCTCTGCCCCTCCCCTGCTTGTACTCTCTCTCAAAATAAATAAATAAACATTTAAAAATTAAAAATAAAGAAAACTTCTCCCTTCCCATTCTGATATCAAGTTACTTTGTTTCACATTGTTCCATTTATTTCCATCTGAGCATTTACCAAAATCATACATCTCACTTATTTATTGGTTTCTTGTTTATGGTCTGTCTCCCCCAGTAGGAAGTAAGAAC